GGACCGCAGGGTGTAACCTTCTCCGCGGCGGTGGCGGTGTGAGGGGGGACTTCATAAAAGGTGGCCGTAGGCAGGAGTAAAAGGGAAAAGTTTCGCAGGGCTCTTTACAGCCTGGCATAAACTCGTTCGCTTTCACACGAGAAAAGCGAAGTCATTGTACCGCCTCATGGCCAAAACGTACGAGAGTAGGGCTGGACGCAACAGAGTGGCAGTAATAAATAGAGCAGTGGTTAATGGTCTCAGAGCCAGCACAAAAGGCCACAGTAACTGCTAGTCAAACATAGTATATGTCCTATTATATATAGAGAGAGTATACACATATACACGCACACACGCATACACAGACCCCCCCCACACACACACACGTATATAAAATATAGGACTTCTACATCTCATAGTAATTCTACCCACAGAATTGATGTGAGTTAAGAGAATAAAACAGACTTCAACAGACTAAAACAGCAACAGCTTTCTCCCAAAGCACACACGTCAGAAAATTAACAAGTCACATGTTTCTTTCAAAGATTTCCCATTTCTTGCACCCTACCAGTAAACATGCCCATATTGCAGCAGGCAGTACTGACTGGCGTTCGTCAGACAGCTCAAATCAAGCCAGCACAGTTACAGCACAGGAACAGTGGCGGCCGAGATCTGCAAGGCCTCCTGCTTTTGCTGAGAGCGTGGTTTCAGATGCAGCCGAGCTAACGCAAGGGTGTATTGCAGGGGCAGGGATGAATTCCTGCTCCCTGTCGCCTTCGCTGTTCTGCTCGTTCTCCATCTCATGCCCGCATTTTCAGGTGTGGTGAACTACCTTAATTCTGCATGTCTTGTGATACCATGCCCTAAAATGCCACCATAAATGATGCCTCTTGGCAGTATGGCCCTCACCTACAGAGTATTGCGAAACTCCGGGGCTTGTGTTAGGCGAAGCTGAGCACGGAGAGCCCAAACAGAGCGAGGCAGGCACGGGGCCAGCTCTCCACCTCAGAGTGATCACCGAGCAACACACAGAAGGAAGCAGTAAAAGAGCTCAGACTGTCTGGGAACATAGAGATCTAAAAGCGGGCTGACCTCAGGTGCCAGCAAAATTAAGATAGAAGGTAGCTTCATTTCTGACAACAGCCAGTTCTGAAGCACTAAATATTTATAGTAATTCCAGCTAATTCAGCCGGAGGGAGTTTACTTCTAAAACCAATAGAACAGGATTTTGAGATGCACTGTGCTTCATATAAAAGTAAAGCATGCAAATGATATGTATTTAAACACACTCCAAAAAGATAATGACAACATTAAAGACGTTCCAGTGAGTCCAGGCTGAAGAATGACCCTGAACTGCGGGTTGGGGGGTGGAGGTGGAAGGGGTAAACAAAGCAGTGATAATGTTGTGATTGGGTGAAATACAGGTTTAGACATATTACTGCTGGCCCCCGTTTTCCCCAGTGCAATGGGATGATAGAAAATGGTATCATGACAATACAGGCCTTTCTAAAAAAGGCCATGGAACCAGACTGTTTACCATATTTAGCACTACTAAATTACAGCTGGCACCAGCAACTCTTTGTTGTCACCTGCTGACATTTTGTCCAACATAAGGATGAAAGCACCATTGCTTGCACTGTTTGAAACCATCAGAGTCACTGGGGACTCGCAGATAGGGAAAGGGAAAGCTGAGGCAAAACAAAAAGCATGGCGTGAGTTAGGCTCTCCGAGCTGCCGCCACAGCAGTGAAAAGGTGCTCTGTGTTTCCGAGGGGAAGAAAACAAGTCACATACCACAGCGGGGTCACCAGAGGTGTCTTTGCCACCCAATGCAGTTTAGACAACCACCCACCAGGGAGAGGCAGCTGCGTGTCTGCGCCCCAGAAGGAAGAAAACACAGGGCACTCGTTCTGCTGCTCTGCCCAGGGAGGTCTCAAACAAGCAACAATGCTGGAAGGGGAGCGAGCGGTGCCCCGAGCCGGTCAGAAGTAGTGGCCTTTCCCGTACACCCTCATGGAGGACCGGCTGCCAAGGTGAAGGACACACACAGTGTGCGACACCAGAGTCCATCTCAGACGCTACCTGAACGTCACTGACATTGCAGATCACCCGTATTTGTGCATTCACCATATATGTATCTGAAATTCTTTGATAGACCCATGTTGACCTTTAAATAAATCTCCTTACCTTGGGTGTTACTATCAGGTTTGGCTGGGGAGGGAGGCACTGCAAACTGCACCGCTGAGGCTTTCTCCCAGTTGCTGGCTGGAGCCTTTTGCTGTGCGGTGCAGTGGCCTGAGTTACAGAGACCCCTCGGTGAGGGCTCG